GGCTGGGCCATTCTCGGCTAATGGGGCTGGTCAGAGGGATCTGCCGGGCGGGGCGGCAGCCCCTGGCCCTGAGCAAACGCCCCTGGCCCGGCGCGGAGGGGAAGTGTCAGGCTGCGGGAGCGGGTGATACTGACCCTCGCCCATAGGAGTCAGGGGGGCACTGGCTGTGGGGCTCAGCGGCGCTGGGCTGGGCCATTCTCGGCTAATGGGGCTGGTCAGAGGGAACCTCCTTTGGGATCCCCTCCGACCCTGCCATCCCCTCACCCCCTCCCGCGGCTCCACGCAGGGACACGGCCCGTCAGTCACTGGGGGCTCAGGGCTGGGCCCGGTGCGGGTGCAGGAATTAGCTGGGCCAAAGGGCAGAGCTGGGACTGTCCCACTGTGGGGCCCGGTGGCCACCGATGACCAGGGCTAGCTGAGCCCGACATGCTCCCTCCGGCCGCAGCAATTCTCCGTCTCAGGCGAGGGACATGGCTGGGCTGCACATGCCGAGAGGCAGGAGCCGTGTGTGAACAGGGGCTGGGGCTGGTGTCGCTGCGTCCCACGGGGAGGTGGAATTACCCCCTCCCACGCCATGTCGCTACCCAGGGCAGGTCCGTGCTGTGTGGGAGATGTGATGGATGTGCAGCTGCCGGGTTGTGCTCTCCCTGTGCGCTGCTGTGACACGCCTGCTGGGTGTGGGTCAGAGTCCCATGCAGTCACACGGCAACCTCTTAGAGTGAGCGATGGAGTTCGCTCTGCAGCCTTGGCTGAGCGCCAGCTGCCTTTTAGCTCAAGCAATAGAAGTTCCTGCACAAAGCGCCGGACGCCCCGGGTTCGATTCTCCCCGTGCTATGTTCCAGGCCCTATTCCCGCTGCCTTCCCCCACCTTGTCCTTTATGGGCCGGCTGGTCACTGATGTTTAGATGCTGTAAACCTCCTAGCAGGAGGCATAAGGTTTCTGTCAAAAAAGGCTTTCTTTCTCGACAGACCCCCTCTGCACTGCCGCTTTTTGCAAACAAAGTGCTGAGTCGGCGAAAACAGGGCCATTGTCATGCAAATGAAGCCCGGGATATTTAAATCCCCGCTTCATTTGCAAGGTCGACCTGCCTAATCTGCATCCCTCTGCTGACACAAGGATGGAGTCCAGACTTACCCTTGCTATCCCAGAAGAGTACCATCTGTGGGCTGCAGAGGGGCCAGCGGGTGAACGCCCTCACGTCGCCCTGCCTCCATCCACGCCCTGTCTGTGCCTTGGGCAGATTGTATTGTCCTCTTGTGTCTTGTCCCTTCTGCTGGGCCTGGGAATGTTCGGCCCTGGACTTTGCCTGAGGAGTGTAGTTTATTGTAGAAATCACAATCTAACATGGGCGAAAACTCCATGTTAGATCCCCCTACACCCTGCCCTATCATTCCCTGCTGATTTTAATAAAAAATGGACATGCTGGGCTGCTAGCAGAAGACGGTGTGACGTAGTGCGGGTACCTTGCTGGTTGCTGGGTGAGACGTAGTGGGGGGTAACCTGTTAACTCTCTGGCTGCTGTCTGTAGCACCACCGAGCAGACAAGCGATGAGTCACTATGCAAAGAGGGTATCCCAACTGGTTTGGCCAGCTGACCCCCATGGAGAGGAACAAAGGAAGGTGGATGCTGCCCGGGCTGGGGGGCAGGGCTGGAGGAGAGGGAGTGAGTTCCTGGCTGGAAAGCAGGGGAGAAGGAACTGGGGAGGGGGCTGGGATTCCCCTATCTCAACGGGGGCACTGAGGCCTCTTAGCCCCCAGTTCCTGTAACCAGATTCCATCTGTGCTGCGCTGTGCTGGAGGAGCAATAAACCACCCTCAATTCCACTGGCTGGTGGAGTCTGTTTGTGCCATTTCGGGGTGCAGGAGACGGGGGACCCCCAACGCGCCGTCACACTGGGCTTGGGCTGTGGGTGACCCCACTGGTTACTGTCTGTACCACGGCCCAGCAAGGTAGCTGATGGGACAGGGAGGTACCTGTCCGACCGGTTACCTCCCAGGGAGAGGAACAAAGGAAGGTTGAATGCCGCCCTGGCTGGAGGCATGGCTGGAGGAGAGTGGTAGTTTCTGTCTGGGAAGCAGGGGAGAAGGAGCTAGGGAGGGGGCTGGGATTGTAGGGCCCAGCCACCCCCCATCTCAAGGGGTGGCACTGAGGCCTGCTAGTCCCAGTTCCTCTAACCAGATTACATCTGTGCTGTGCTGTACCCTGGAGAAGCAATAAACTCCCCCTATTCTATTGGTTGGTGGAGTCTGTTTGTGCCACTACAGGGGTGCAGGAGGCAGGCACCCCAATGTGCCGTCACAGACTGGCATAGATTTTTTTGAAAAAAAAAATATATATATATATATATATATATATATATATAGCGGGGGAGCATCATATCGTG